GGAAGTGCTTATTCCACTAAGCCATCTCCCTGGACCAGGCACCATGTATATTAAGGGTTAAACTCATGGGGTCCTACATGCTAGGCATACATTCTGCCACTGAGCTATGTCTCCAGCTCTTTTAAATTTCTCATTTTGAGATCTGCTCCAAGTTCTAGGGCTGGCCTGGGACTTTCAATTGATCCTCCTCTATCAGGCTTCTGCGCAGCTGGATTAAGGGCATGTATCACCATGCCTGGCTAGACTCCTACCTTTTAGGGCTCATTGTTTTGCTAAGAGAAATAAGAAAATATCTACTACAGCTATGTATAATGGCACACAACTGTAATCTCAGCTGTGTGAGAGGAATGAAAGTTCAAGGCTAGCCAGGGCAAATTAGGAAGATTGTATCTCAAAATACAAAAGGCCGTGGGCTGGGGAGATAGTTCTAGCTTGGAAGTTTAAGCACCTGCCTGGCAAGCCCAAGGACCTGGGTTCTATCCCTGGTATGCCACGGTGGCCCCCGAAACTGGGTGTGATGGTGTACACCTATAATCCCAGTGTTGGGGAGGCTGAGAGAGGAAGATCACTATGAGTCTGAGCTGTATATTGAGACCTTGTACTAAATAAAAATTTTAAAAATTACAAAAAAAAAAAAGGCTGAGATATAGCTCAATGCCATCTCAATCTAAAACTGTAAAAAAAAAAAATGAAATTAATGCTTTGTACAATCAATACTAAGATGGGCTGGGGAGATAGCTCAATAGAATAAGCGCCTGCCTGGCAAGTACAGGGTCCTGACTTCAATCCCCAGTACTACAAAAAAAAAAAAAAAAAAAAACTAAGATAACGTGGAAGATAAATCTGGGTAAAATAAAGAAGCAAAGTAGCCCACACTGTTATTACCTTAATGTTATAAAATTCGGTTAGTTCTATCATCTCATGCAAAATTCTAGATATAGAGGCAGAGCCAGGAAGACAGAAAGTTCAAGGCCAGCCTGAGCAACTTAGTACGACCATGTTCTGAAATATAAAAAAAGCCTGGGGGGCTGGGGAGGTAGCTCAGCAGCATAAGTGCCTGCCTGGCAAGCGCAAGGTCCTGAGTTCAATTCCCAGTACCACAAAATAAAATAAGAATAAAAAAAGCTGGGATGTAACTCAGCTATAGCATGAGTTCCATTGTGTGGCAAAAACAAAAACAAAAACCTCCTCTAGACCTAAATCTCACCTTCTGATTCATATTCACTTGCTTTCTGTTTTAAATCCTCTATGACTAGGCAGGCATCCCTGTCCCGGGCCTTGTTGCGTTCTCCAAGATGATATAAAATCTCTGTGGTCCGTGGGTTCACCTCATACTGTGGAATCGGATGATCTCCAAATATTTTTTTCAACCACTCAGCAACCTAACCATTAAAAAGAAAACATTATTATAGGCCTTGTTTATTTTTAGTGTTATGTTGTTCACTTATGTTAATGACATCATGGAACCGTGACAAAGTGCCCAAAAGTAAACTGAATTTTTTTTTTTTTCTAATTAGTCTGGCGTCCTACTTCACATTCTGTCTTTGGAAGTCACTTAATGACAAGAAATAAAAACTGAGCAAGCACAACGAATATAAAGTCAAAATTACCAGAGAACAATGTATTTTTTTTTTTTTTTTAAAGCTACAAAAGCATTGTAGGGGGAAAACCTGCCTCATTTGGAAAACCTTTAAAGCTCAACACGCAGGAGTAAAAAGCTCAGTACGTGAATGTGAAAGCGTGAGTACAGGCTTCCAGGGCTGGGCTGCAGCTCGGGTGTGAAGGCAGCCACCCAGGTCAGCCTTGGGCTCCAAGTCCCATCGCAGCTGTGCTCCGAGGATGCGAGACGCTGGCGGAGTCGCAGCAAGGGAACGACGGAAGTGCTTAAAAGTCCTTCTCAGGGGCGTTTGCCGATGGGAAAGGATGTGTAGAGGGGAGAAAAAAAGGAGGCTCTGTGTGTACAGGGATCACTGGTGGCGCAAGCGTGTCAAAATGTTCCAGAAGTCCACAAAGCCCGGTTCCCGACCCAGTCACCTGCACATCTTTCTCCTCCTGCGCCTCCATCGCCACAGCCAGCTCCCGCCACTTCCGCGCAAGGCCTGACGGGAGAAACGCCTTACTTGCGCGAGCGCCCCCCCCCACGTGCATGGTCCCTCCCGCACGCCGTCGGTCCCGCCCCGCGTTTGCCCGGGACTTCTGGGAGTTGTGGTTTTCCTGACTCCAGGTCACTTAGACCTTGGACAAGGCTGATCCTATTCTCTCTGCCTCTGTGGTATAATCTTCTGGACAAGAAGGAGAGCTGTTAGAAACACACTATTTTTCTTGTGCATGTGTTTCATTTCTTGCTTGAATCAACTCTTTTAGTTTTTAAATATATAAAACTCTTGGATTTTGGCTAAGGGACATTTGGGTTTATTCTACATTCACTGCATAAAATTAAAATTTTAAAATTTCTTCGCTGGCAATAGCAGCTGCAGCAATTCAGCAATTTTTTTTTTTCTTTTTCGGGACCGGGGATTGAACTCAGGCCCTTGCACTTGCCAGGGAAGCGCTTATTCCACTGAACCACCTCCCCAGCCCCTAAAAGTTCAGAAGTGGGTTTGTTGTTGTTGTTGTTGTTGTTTTTATGGCTAGCTCAGGATGCCTTCAGGGCAAGTCTGGTAAAGCTTGAGAATCTGGGGATCAAACCACAGCATCCTGATTGCTTTAAGCAGTCACTTAAACAACTGGGCTAATGGGCAGGCCCCCCCCCCCCCGCTGCAGCAATCTTAAACTTGTCCACTGATGAGCTAAATGTGCACACATTTATTTATTTTTGGTACATGAAAATCCTTTAAAGTAGCATCCACTGTGACTGGCATTCCTTCTCAACTGTTCTGTTCATGTCTTGCCTTCCCTAAAGTTCTTCCTTTTATCACTCTGGTTTTTGTTTAACAAATACCACCACCACC